CAACACAAAGATATTGGAATGATGTTAAAACATATTTTTTGTTACATAAATGGTATTATTGATTTGTGATTATTTTAGTGGGATATGCAGATAGGGTATGCAGATGTATGTTATATATCTGACCCACATGTTATGCAGATGCATGTTATCTCTCTGACCCACATAAAGCTAAATCATAAACAGGATACGTGTTTACACGTGCATGGAGATCTGTGAAGCAACCATTGACAGTAACATTCTTAAATCATTATGAAATTATTGCAATCCATGAAGCATGCCAAAAATGTGTATGGTTGAGGAACATGACCAATCATATCCAAACATCATGCGGAATAATTTCAACAAAAGATAGTCCAACAATTTTGTATGAAGATAATGCTGCTTGTATTGCACAATTCAAAGGAGGTTATATCAACGGTGACATGATGAAACATATTTTTTCTAAAATTCTTTCATACACGAGTTTCAGAAGAATGGCGACATCGAGGTTCAACAAATTCGTTCAAGTGACAATGTGACTGATTTATTTACAAAAGCACTGCCAACATCTACATTCAAGAAATTGGTTCACAAGATTGGAATGCGTCGAATCAAAGATTTTTAGTGATCAACATTAGGGGGAGTGGCTGTACTCTTTTTCCTTCACTTAGGTTTTATCCAACTGGGTTTTCCTAGCAAGGTTTTAATGAGACAGCATTTATCTTTAATACTCCAAAATAATTGTACTATTTTTCCTTGTTTTGATTTTCTTTTTTTGTCCCATTGAGTTTTTATCAAACAAGGTTTTAACGAGGCAGATATTTTGTAATGTATCATTTGAGGGGGAGTGTTGTAAAAGGAAAGTAAATTAGGGTTTAATATGAATGACACTTGTACCTCTGCAGCCCTAGATATTATTACCATATGTGGATATTCCTTCCCTATAAATATAGGGTTTTGGTTCTCATTATAATACACACAAATCTATCGACTTTTCTTATTCTCTTCTCCTTTTCTCTCTTTTCACAACATTTTGAAAGTTTTTAGTTCAAAAATCAGATAATTTAACTCTTTAATATTATAAAAGTAAATTAATTTAACTCAACACCACCCTTACCCATCCACCCCAACCCATAAGACCTAATTCATCTTCAATTTTCACCCCCACACTGTACCCAGCATCGGCGATCGTGGCAGCGATAAGTACATCACCGACGATAGGTGCTCGCTGCGGCAGAGCGCGCAACGACAAGTACTGTCGTGCGTGTTCTCTCTATATCTCTAATAGGCATCTACATGATGCCGCCCTGTAGCATGGTGCTCTATGCGCAAAGTAGTGAACTCTGTCGTTCGTAGCGACGTCAAACGGCAGTGGCGAGACTACTACGAACTCGCAGCAGCGTTGTTCGGCTGCGCACCCGCCATCGTTGCAGAAAAATATGAAGAGGAGTTTGGGTATTTTGGTTACCGGCAGAAAAGAAAATTTGGGGAGGTAGTTTGGGGTATTTTAGGGTGATTTCGTTCTCTGATTTGTTCTGCTTAGCAGGAGCAGCTGTGTAGAGGCATGATACTGGAATGGAAAATTTTGGTGGTGGTTTTGGTGTTGTGGTGGTGGTGTTTTTAGGGTTTTTTTTTTCTATTTCGGATTGTGAAGTGGTGGGGGCGGCGACGAGGTGGTGAAGGCGATTGCTATGGTTGTGGATCAAATGCAGCGGTCGTTATGGTTGTGACTGTAATAATTTTGAATTTGATTATTTAGTGGTGTTTGGATGATGGTGGTGGTGATGTTGGTGGTGGTTTGGTGTGGTGCAGTGGTTGTAGTGGTGGTGGTAGCAGTGGCAATGTTTGGTTGCGGATGGTTTTACTGTCGGGATATAGGGTGGTGGCAATGTTCGGTTGCGGATGGTTTTATAGTCGAGATGTGGCAGTGGGGTTTCGACGACGATGTGATGGGTCGTGGTCACATATGATTTGATTGTTTGTGACCTATAAATTGATTAATATATGACCAATAAATAATATGCGACCAATGAAATAGATAAATTGTGACCAATAAATAACGTATGACCTAAAATTTATTAATTTGTGACCAATAATTTGATACTTTGTGACCGAAAATTAATTTTTGATTAATTAATTAGATATTTTGTGACCACAAAATAAGTTGTGACTTATAAATTTTGTGATTTGTGATCTATTAATTTGGTAAATTTGTCGATGAATAAATTGTGACTTATAACATTTTTGATTTGTGATCGTGACATAATTTGTGACCTATAAAAACTTTTATTGCGACTAAGAAATAATTTGTGATCAATTAATTTATAATTTGTGATCAAATTGTATAGATTTGTGACCTTAATATATTTAATTAATAAAATATATGTTTAATTAATTAGTTTATAAATAAAATTTTAAAAAAAATCTGATTTTCGAAATTTTATACATTGTTATTTTAATTTTGAAATGTGTCATACTTAATCTCTTATTTATGAATTTTCCCCTTCTATTATGAGGAAATTACATGGCTCCCAGTATTTAAAGTTTTCTATGCAAATGTCAGGTGCCTAACTTTTTTAATCATAATTCAGGTAATAAAAATTTAAAACCCTAATTTTTCATTTTCCCCTCCCTCCCCTTTCTCTCTCGTCTTCCTCCCCTCCCCCTCTCTGTCCTTTCTCCGTGAATGGAACTGCAGCGTCGCCGGTGATGGCTCATGGCTCGGCGGCGACGCTCACCTCCCCCTCACCTTCCTTCTTCTTGTGAATGGAATGGTAGTGTCATTTCTCTGTTCTTCCCCCTCCCTCTCTCTGTCCTATCTCTGTGAATGGCGTCG